TTTAAAAACAAAAGCAAAACAATGTTGAAGTTTTTTTTTTTTTTCTTATTTGGTGGTGAAAATCTGAGAATGAATGACTGACTTGGCTGATTGTCTAATGACTGTTTAGCTTAACCATATGGTTTTAAGCTACATGCAGTAGTTGCATAGAGTATTGTAAACCATATTACAGATTTTATAATCTCCTTTTGAATGCACTGGACTTCGAACACCTGGAATAATGATTCACTTTTGCAATTTTCCCTTCAGGGTTGTGACATTTCTCCGCTTCTTGAGAATAATAATCCTCGTGAGGGTTTTCAGACTGGCTGCTCAGAAGAAAGAGCTGGAGAAAGTCACCAGGAGGATGGTAAGGTCGTCATTCTAGACGCAAACTGGACAGTCACAAGTGTTAGGGTTGGCATCAAGAAAGAACACTGGAAAAATTGCTTATTTTTCAGATTTCTGAAAACAAGCGGCGTTATCAGAAGGATGGATTTGACCTCGATCTTACCTATGTCACAGGCAGGTGTTTGAAGTTAAACAATTATGCATGTCAGGAAAATACATTTTGAGATTAAAAAAGAAAAAGAAAAACAATGATTTTGCATCTTTACCCGCTCTGTAGACCGCGTCATCGCCATGTCTTTCCCCTCCTCTGGGAAGCAGGCCTTCTATAGGAATCCAATCAGGGTAAGTGAGTGGCCTTGGATGCGAACCATGCACCACCTGCTTCATTTTACAAACATAATAATAACATAGACAAAGATCAAAATGATCCCAATCACAGTTATCATTGGCTTTTAACTGACTTCTCTTCTCTCTTTGTGCAGGAAGTGGCAAGGTTTCTAGACACTAAACATGAAGGCCATTATAAAGTTTACAATCTTTGCAGTAAGTGTGCACCACCTTTCCTCACATGCACTGTATGCCCTTTTGTTGAGGATTACAAAACAGCGTAGTTTCTTTTTGTTTCCAGGTGAGAAAGGCTACGACCCCCAGTTCTTCCACTACAGGGTTGAACGGGTGTTTATTGATGACCACAATGTCCCCTCCTTGGAGTGAGCACGGTTTCTGTTTCATATGTGGCCTTTTCTTTAATCTGGATCTTTTTCTTGTAGTAAACCTATACCAATGTTGAGACTTCAAGCATTTCTATAAATGACTTGGATCCAGGAAAAAGATGCATCACAACTGCATCAATTCCAGTGCCAATTAGTATTTTCACACCTTATTTCTTTGTTCTTGTACTGGATTGTTTCAGGGACATGCTCAAATACACAGCGAGCGTGAGAGAGTGGATGTCTGCTGATCCCCAAAACATCATTGCGATCCACTGCAAAGGAGGGAAAGGTAACATTAGTGAGCTCTCCTTGACTCATTATCATTGGATCACTTATTTGAAAATATGCGTCTTTTTAAATGTGAATTCTACTGCTCCCTTTCCCAGGACGCACCGGTACTATGGTGTGCACCTGGCTTATCGACAGTGACCAGTTTGAGAGTGCACAGGTACATCTCTCTTAGTTACTTGTGAAACTAGGGTAAATAGATAAGTGCTTTAAAACAAGGCTATATCCTTACATCTGTTTCTTTTCGCACTGAAGGACAGTCTGGAGTATTTTGGCGAGCGGAGGACAGACAAAAGTCAGAGCTCCAAGTTTCAGGGGGTGGAGACTCCCTCTCAGGTAACAACAAGTCATCAAAAACTCTTTGTAGTGAAGACCTCTAATCATTATGATGAGCAGCTCCATGTGGCAGAAACACAAAAGTATGGCAGCAATACAACAGCCTTCTTCACATGTGAGGCAACTGGATTTTTTTTCCAAAATTTGTAATATCGCCAGAGAAGGTTGCCAGGTTTTGGCCAAACCTTTTCTAGGAAAGTACTTGGAAACAGCCAGATGGTTCTGTCTTACAAATCATTTGTGGGAGATTTTGGGCGTACCTGTGAGACATCGCTCTTCACAACCATCATCAAAACAAATAGTAAAGGAATGTCTTTTGGAATAAGTATATTAGAGTTTTAGGCACCGGTGAAATCAATTCCAAGAACATCTTCTTAAGCCTGTTGGAATACACGTACAAAAACTAAATGCTTGCTTTTTTAATGGTAAATGGACTGATTCTTATTCTTTTCTACTTTCCCAGAGTACTCAAAGCGCTCTATAGAACATGCCAAATTCACATATTCACTATCTTCTATGCTTTCTAACCACCATTCACACACATTCATACTCCGATGGATGCATCACATAGCTACTTGGGGTTAATATCTTGCCCAAGGATATTTGGTATGCAGACTAGGCAGAGCCAGGGATCAAACCACCAACTTTCCACTTAGTAGATGGCTTGCTCTACCTCCTACAGCCACAATATGTTAAAAGGTTTTGTTGTTTTTGTGTCCTGCAGAGCCGGTACGTAGGGTACTATGAAATCATGAAGAATAAGTTCAACAGACAACTGCCTCCACCGAAAAGCCTCAGGATTAAAAGCATCCGTATCCACTCCATAGCAGGTAAACTAGAAAACCTGAATCATGTTCGTTTATAGCTGCACCACCAACAGTGGCACATATGAGCTTTTTTTTTTTCTCTCCCTCTACTCCTGCTCAGGTGTTGGTAAAGGTAATGGTAGCGATTTCAAGGTCAAGATAATTGTGAGAAAAGAGCTGGTGTTTGAGTGTGTGTGTGCCAAGCAGGAGAACTGCACGGTAAGTCTGTCACACACTCACAAATTCACACAACAGGATTGAAGAGTTTTAGCGTTTTAACCCAGTTTATGCGTTTTGTTAGGTATTTCCTGATGTGGGTAATAACGCAGCAGTCATCAGCCTGCAGAATGGACCTGTGGTTGAAGGAGATGTGAAGGTCATGTTTGAATCGAGTGCAGTGAGTGCTTACTTTTTCACCTTTCACCTATAGTAAAGGAAAGCTTGTGAATTAGATTCATGTGATCTGTTCTCATCACCCTTAGGGTCTCCCGAAAGGATATGAAGATGTTCCATTCTACTTCTGGTTCAATACATCCTTCATAGAAGATAACAAGTGTGTTTCTTTTTCTATTTCAGCAGATCAGAGACCATTTTTTTGTATTCTTTTGACTGTATTATCATGACTTACACTCTTTAAACTGTCCTCAGGTTGTTTTTACCCAGGGAAGAGCTGGACAACCCACACAAACCAAAGACCTGGGACCTGTACAAGGAAGACTTTGGTGTCACTATGTTCTTCTTAGAATCTGAATAAAAGAAAGATGGAAAGATGGGAAAACCTGTTCTAGCTTTAATGATGCATAATGAACAGAAATATGCAAATTGAACACTAATTTAAAAAAATGCAGTTTTGGTGTTTAAATTGACCAGAGGAATACCGCACATTTACATGTTTAAATGTTGTGATCTTAAGTGCTTACAATTCTCCACTTTACAAATAATGTAGACTAAAATTCTACTCTCAGCTTTTGCCACTTAAATTTGTGAGACATGGAGAATTACCAATACACAAAGAATAATGTCCACATTTAAATTAATCTGTATGTGCAGGTACTTCTTTTGGTGTATGTAGTAAAATGATCAACATTTAGCATTCATGAAATTATAAAGCTATATGTGGCTTTTCTTTTCATAGCTCAGTGCTTTATTTGTGAACTATTTCCCAATGCTGTTACCTATTCAGCCCCACTTGAGGATTTATTGAAACCTAAAGTAGCCTAGGTATTGGTTAGGGTTAGAGTTGTCTTTGGTGGAAATGTGGAAAAGGGAGAGAGGAAGCTAAGACATTGCTAACGAGAGCTCAGAAAAGATGTTAGTCTCACAATGATTTAGAATTTGAGCTTTCAAAGCAGCAGCTATTGTAGAAACTGCTTTGATTTTGATGAATTAAGGGTCACTTCAATGCAAATAATGATTTGATGGCAGTTTTTGTATCAAATTTCTGAAGAACAAAAAACTGTAATAAAGTGTTGGAGCTGTGCATGTGTTTGATTAAAAATAATCATTTTAATTCAAACTCAATATTTGCCCCTCACAAATAGGTAACGAGCAAGCAATTTTATTCACACTCTGTACAATCGCTTAAATTACTGCTTATATTACAAGCACTTTCCTGTTACACCATTAATTCCCCAGATTTGAGGAGCCAAACAAGCATGTCAGATTTATTCACTGCTAAAGAAAGTGACTAAAAACAAAGTGCAGGCAGAAGTAAACATTAGGAATCTAAAATACTGCTCTTTGGTTTGCTAAAAGATGTTTTTGCTGAGGCCGAAAATGTTGCACATAAGGTGGATCACATAAAGCACAGGCCTAAAACCCAAACAATGGTGCTGACGAAGGACTTAAAAAAAATTAAAAAAAAAAAAAAGACATTAAAGTGCCAGAACATTTGAGTCACACTGTGGGACTGAGATTAGCTTCATCGCGGCACAAGAATAAGGTCTGCCAGCAGGTGTCTTTCTGTATGGAGTTTGCAAGGTTACTGTATATGTGTCGGTTCTTGTGTCAATGTGGGTGTGAATGGCTGCCTGTCTGTGTTAGCCACAGGCTTGCAACCTATAGAGGGTGTGCTCCACCTCTTGCCCCACGACCGCTGGAAAGGGTCCAGCCACTTTGCAACCCCAAATTTATATAAAAAGAAGAAAATTAATGGATGACTAACATTTCAGAGGGACAGAGGTTTAAAAGATATATCGCAAGAATCGATAAGTTCATGTTTAACAAAAAAAAAAAAGAAAAGGCACTGGCTTCAAAAGAACTGCTTAAATCATGAGAACTGAAGAATCCTTGTAATGCCTAACACTGTGTGCGCTTCAGAACAATTTTAACCACCCTTTTCACAACTGACATTAAAGAAAAAAAGTCAACCGTCCCACATTCATCTAAGTGATTTAAAACACATTATTAGTGATGAGGCACAGCAAATACTCAAGTTGGGTTTCTAAGTTCCACATCCATGTGAACATGAATAATAGGTCAAGTGACTTTATGAAACCAAACCTATATAAAAAAAACAAAAAAAAAAACAAAACAAAAAAACAATCATTGTCCATCTGCAACAGAGGATGATTTGTTTTTGGCTCAGTATCATATTTAGTCATATTGCTTTTTCCCCCTCACCCTGCCTTTTCCAGGCTAAACTCCATCAGATCAACAGAGAGTTTTTGTGGCAGCTCTGGCTAAGCTTCCTTTAAAACCATTAAGGTAGTCGCACTGCTTCAGGTCATCATAACGCCCACTTCGCAGGTAGCACAGTATACCGGTCTTGCAGACCTCTTTGCAAGGCTTTGAGACGTGCCCTTTATACCTCAAATACCAGAACTTCTGGAAGACAGGATCATCATTGATAAAGGTCCCAATCAGCCGATTAAAATCGGATGGGAACAGAGTAGACAGACCATAAGCTTCAGTGGCACGGTACAGTAGTGTCCATTTAGGATCCTTTTGTGGACTATGTGGTGCCCATGGACTGTGGTTTGCCTCTGTAAGGTTCATGATGTAGGTTTCATGGTCGAGTACTAGCCGAGAGCTTCCTTGGTAGTTCCCATCAACATAGTAGACACGGTATCCTGAAAAAATATATTTTTGCTGCGTGTGAGTGTGCTGCTTATGAAATGCTGGAAGATGATTTAACTCAATTATTATTGAGTTAAATTATTATTAACTCACCTGGATTAAGGCCAACAAAGGTAGTGACACTGGGAGCAATAAACACTACCCCCAATGGGTGGGTCATGGTTTCCTCATCATAAAACATCTGGAACTCATCCAGGTGCGTATGGCCAAAAAACTGTCCAGTGATTGTACTTTCATACCTGAAGAAAGGATGCGAGAGTAGTTTACCAAAGAGAAACCAACCAATTCATCTCTGTTCACATGCTTCAGATGCTGAAAAGTGTTTCTAGTAATAAGCCAGCTCTGTATCTCGCTGCTGTAATTCCAAGAATACTGCTTATTGGGATTTAGTTGCATTGATCAGCATTACACACGCACCTTTTCTAAATTCACATTGGGAAACATTTAATGCTCTGCAATTAAACAATAAACCATTGCTTAATGAATACGAGCCCAAATCATTCTCCAAGTGACAAAGAGGTAGCCAGACTGACTTTAGTACTCCAGTTATCTTCTAACAGTTTCTAACAGCTTTATATTAAATCTTCAGTGACTACTGCAGCTACCTGTTGACAATGTGATAATAGTTCCAGCTCCAGCTGCTAAGACAAAGGCCAGGTGGGATGTGACCAATGATATGTACCTACAATAAAGGAGGAGATATTTTTAAAGAAAAATAAATGTTTTCCTTTGCTTAATAAATGAGATCAGAGGTAATTAAAATAAGAGAATCCCAATGTCACAGTGTTAAATGATCAAACTCACTTTTTCTCCCTTGTCCTCGCTGGCCTGGAGAATGTGTATGAGCCACTGCAGCTGATCCCCGGGATCGGTGGAGTTCACCATCAGCCAAAAGTTTTCTCGTGCACAAAAGTTCATATTGAGAGAAACCAGCCTCAGACCAGGCTGAATCTGCACTGTGTAGAATCCTCCATATCTGTAATTACAACAACAGGACCTCTGAATGACTCAAATTTAAATGAAACTCTAGACATTATCAGGCTCTGGGTCACTTATTGAAGCTCAAAGTGTTGTATACACTCACTGGCCAGCAGAGGCCAGTGAGTGTATACAACAACAGGACTGGGACCGAAGTGGTCTTTTGTAACCCATTTGTATACCATGGTTGTAACAAATGGTTCTTTAGGTTCTTCTCCGACCTCTGGCATCAACAAGGAATTTTCACCCAAAGAACTGCTGTTCACTGGGCATTTTCTCTTTTTCAGCCCATTCTCTGTAAATCCTAGAAATGGTTGAGTGGGAAAATCCCAACAGATCAGCAGTTTCGGACATAATCACACCAGTCCATCTGACACCACCAACCATACCACATTCAAATTAAATTAAATAACCATGTTCCACATTCTGATGTTCGGTTTGAACTTCAGCAGACTGTCTTCATCATGTCTGCGTGATTAAACACACTGAGTGGCTGTCATGTGATTGCCTAATGAGATAGTTGCATTAACGAGCAGTTAATCAGGTTAGTTGCTGCTATGTGATTGGCTGTTTAGATATCTGCATTAATGAGCAGTTTAACAGCTACACCTAAAAAAGTGGCCAGTAAGTTTATAAGAAACACTTTCCATCACTGGTAACCAGTCAAAGTGAAACTGCATCATAAACACAGTTTCCTCATGTTCCAGTGTAAATGCTTTGTTACCTACGGGTAGCTTTAACTGCAGTACTGTGGCAAAGGACATTCACATAATAATAAAATCATAAAATTCAGTAACCTTAAAGTCTTCAATGCCTGATCTGGCAACCACGGGGCCCATTCCTCTGCCATTTGGTCATATAGCCAGGAAGAGGATCTGTTGCCATGAATATAGGGTGGAGGGAAGCTGTTTACTGGTGTGCTCTCGTGGTTTCCTACAGCAGGGTAAACCATCACATTAGGTCCCAGGTGTCTGAGGACAAAAGTTAAGAGTCAACATGAGATTGGACCAGTTCAAGATAGCACATGACAAACTTATGACTGGACAACCCTATGAATGTTAACATGGTCTGAGTCAGACTACAGTGTGTTTGTAATGAATGTAGCCATAAACCAGCACAACATATATTGTTAGTTTTATAATATTAAAACTACTCTGATCTGCTGTTTTATAAGCTAAAGTAGCACGTATCAAAAAAAGTCAGTTAAACTTAAAGCTAACTTACTTGTGGATGAGTCTGGAGATGACAGTAAGCTCTGACAACTGCTGCTCCCTGGTCTGTGACCACACATTGTGTGCTGGTATGTCTCCAGTCCAGTACACCCAGTCCCATGGCCCAGCTTTGGCAGCATTTTCCAGAAGGTTCTCCACTGTCCAAAGAGGCAGGTCACACTTTCCATAAGTTCCCCAGTGCCCAGCCTTCCTCCTGCTCAAGTTTGGAGAGCCTGAATTGTTACGACAACACAGAGGTTCCTTGCAGTCTGCAGCACTGCTGACGTCATATTCCTGTCAGGAGGAACAAAGAGTAATATTTTTTTTAAGGCACGAGTTAAACCAAAACAAGTCAGGTGATCAAAGCCATAACACTTTATGCTGAGTCAAGCCGAAAATATACAGACGCTGTAAATCACTAACTTTAACCTTGTTTTTAACAAACGTATGACCTTAATATAAAAAGGTTTCATACACACCTACTGACAGACACACTTTGAGGGACTACATACATACACAAAATTAGGACAAGAATAGCCAAGTTTGCCAGGATTTCACTTCAATTTCAATTTTGGCTCTTTTCGTTTCACACACTCACCCTGTCCCAGTGGACGTCTGTGAGAAACAGTACTCTGCTCTGTGGAGAACCCGGTTTGGGAGGAGAGGGTGGTTTAACGGGGGGCTTAGGAACATTTGGCAAAGTGATGTTCCAAGGTGCATACACATCAAATTTGCCACAGGAAGGGCCCACCAGTATAGCACACGCTTCAGTGGGCCACAGAAATGACTCCTGCAGGGCCCTTATGAAGTCATCCCTGAACAGCTCAATTATATCCCGACAGACTTGCTCATCAGCCAGATGGAGACGGATACACGCCTCACCTACTGCTTGTGCCACTCGCTCTTCATTTGCATCACTCTGGGGAAGGGGTTAACAGAGAAAAAAACAAGCTCTGAGAGGAGGAAATTAAGAAAACGAACCACTGCATTTGAACTTCCTGCAAAGCAGGCCAAGCTAAAATTTGTTTAGAACAATCTGAATTTAAACATGCTCAAAGAAACATTTCACAGTACGAACATAAGTCACAGAATTTAAGTGCAGCATCTGCACTTAAAAAACAGGAGAATATGCAAACACATGTGGTTGAGGTCAGCAGTTACAGCTAACGATAAACATGTTATTTGTGGTCAATAGAGACCACATGACATAGTCTAAGGACTTTTATGCTAAACACAGAAGAAGCAGAGTGTCATACGACTTGTATCATATACCACGAACATTTTTAAACTTTTTATGCTCTGTAAGTGCAGTAATATTCTCTAACATAATTGGTGATTCACATTTGGAAACATAATGCGAACTGCTCAGATTTATTGTCTTTTTAACCCAATTTGGCTGTACCAGAATTGAATAAACAAATAAATAAAAGCGTAACTGCCACAGCTTAAGAGAAGTCCCTTGTTCAGTTTAGGAAGTTGGACAATGTGCAATAAACGGAACAAACCACAAATCACAAAGAAGAAATAAAAAACAAACAAACAAAAAAACAAAAAACAGTTAAACCAGAAGCATATGTTGATATCAAATCTAGTCTTCAGCCATCTAGTTTAAATGGTTCTACTTCTCAACATTAGAAAATACACTGATGTAAATGGTAAAGGGAATATTGAATATACTAGAAGCACCTCTCACTATTATTACATGATGCAGGTTAATATGGAAAACATAATCTTCCTGCACAGCATTTTATGAGGCAGCTGCAGTCTTCCAACATTTGCTGGACTTTGATCAAGATTTTCTACGGACTGTAAAAACGTAAGCTCTAATTATACATGTAGTCAAAATGCAGTCCACAACAACAAGTAATGTATAACTACACTTAAATGCAGTTTTAATACTCCAGTAAACGTCTCTTATATGTTTTTCACTTTTAAAACAAATTACTTCCTGAGCTGCTCTAAGGACCGGATGGTCTGTTGCACTTGTGCAACTTGTGGTTTAATAGGACATTTTTAACACATTACCAGAAGGGCAACATCAACAATGGTGAAGACAGCTTTGCAGACGTAGCAGGTGACATTTCTCCAGTTGAATCTGACACTTGAGTGGCTCAGCTGCTCCATGAACACCAGGCTGGGGTTTCCGGAAAGCTGCGCTGGATGACAGGAGCCAAACAGCGGCAATATCAAGACCAAAGAGCAGGTTATCAGCCCAAAGGAGGGCGGCTGAGAGGAGAGCCTCATGGTCCAGACAGCAGGTGTCCTCAGAGAGCGTTTGCCTCAGCCTCTGTACAGGACAGCAACACAACAGGCACAACAAGAACAAAACAAGGATGGGTGTCAAGGAAGTAACACTTACTGTCGCGGTGCTTAACTTAACACTTCAGCTTCAGCTTCAGAATAAGTGACTCACAAACAACCGCAAGCAATATTCCTCTGTATGTCAGCTACTAACACAGCAGCAGCGAGAACACACACTTAACAAAGCTAGCTACTCTTCTGATACCATACCTCTGAATATAACAAAGTGCCGCAGTTTTCCCTGAGTGAGAAGCGGGAAGGTCAAGAGCGGCCCAGCTCCCACGTCCACAAAGTGCAACGAAACGAGCACGGCAGCCTTCTTTCTTTGTGGAAGTCCGACTGTCACCTCAGCGGCGGTTGCTGCTGCTGCCTCTGACATCTGAAAAAGTCAGCTGACACGTCACGTGAGGCCGGGTTCACTCGTGCCCCCCCCCCTCCTGTTTTCTGATTGGCCCACAGTCTGCAGCTGTCAAATGAAGTCAAATAAAGATTATCAAAGCTGAGGTCACGCGCTGACCGTTTATATTTTTACCCCCCCTTAATTACACAGTGGCTGAAGTCCAGAAATAGCTGCCTCAGCAAACTTTTATAAATTTGGGACTATAAATTCAATGTGCTGATCGTCAGTATATTCTGCTTTATGTCCGCTATCTTAAAATAAAATCAATAAAGTCTTAATTTTGGTCAAAACAGTTGTAAGTTGCTTATTTCCTTTGTGTGTGCATGCGTTACTGATTCATAATTTATTATTTTATAAGTGTAACGCTATCACCAGTACCAGAGGGTCTATTATGACACATGTAAATATGGATACTACTGCAAAGAATCAACAAAATATTCAAATTTCTATATAGTTATTAACTTGAATGTGCAAGCAACCAAGATGACTGATTCCCAATCCAACCAAACATGGAATAAGGTCAAACATTTTTGAAGTACACCGTGATATCTCTGACAGTTATTGCGGTTTTTTTTTTTCTAATATCGTTATCATATTAGTATGATATGACTCTACTGATTTTTTAAATTCGGTTTAGTTTCACATAATTTCCAGATTGGGTTTTGATCATTTTAGTTTCGTTTTTATTGTTTAAAAGTATTAGTGTTAGTTTCTCTTCTTAATTATTACGGTATGAAGGGCAGATATGGCAGAGGTTAGATTTAGCATTACAGTAAAAACATGGAACTTTTGAAAGCAGTTGACTCATATCCAAAGTTTCACCAAACACATTCAAATAAACTGCCAAATACTAAAACTAAAAAGATTTCCTTTTTATTTTCAACTTTATTCTAGTTAGTTTTCCAAATTGGAAAAATGCTTTCGTCACATCTAGTCTTAGTTAAAATATTGCAATCTTTGTTTTTGAGAAGCTGATCTTTAATATCATAGTGTTTAGACATCAGTCAGTGTCAGAATCAGAGTGTGAATTCTTAAGACCAAAAAATGGCTGTAAAGTCACTTACCTTGACCTTTAACCACCAAAATCTGTTTTTTTCTCCACGAGTTTAAGTGAAGAATTGTGTAATATTTGAAGAACTTTCCTCCGGAGACAAAAGAGCGGAAGCAATCATTGACAGAAAATCCCAGTGACATAAACAAAACCTCATCCAGGTAGCGAAAACGATTTTTAAGAAGTGAAAATGTGACAATGTTTAGTCTGTGATGAAAGTAAAATAATGTCTCAAATGAAACGAACAAGCATTTGTCATAAATATAAAACATTTATTGCATTGGCAGTCAGTGGTGTGCATAAAAGAATCGATTCTATACATATTTCACTGAATGAAATCCACGCTGGATCAAAAAAAGAGCTTGCCAGCATTTCAGTGACCAAGTCTCAGTCATTACAAAAGAGCTGCTTAGCCAAAAAGAACATTTAACTACAAATTTAACTTATACAAGAAAAGCAATACAATATTAGTGTCTGAACTGTGGGTCGCTGAAGTGGTTCCTGGAATTATTTACAGTGGCTTGGCAGATACATAAAGGAAGTGATGCTATAGAGTGGTTTGGTGATTAAACATGAAAAAGGAAGTGCGTGAACTGATGCACACGCATTCACTTGTCTTGCATTTTCTCCAAGATGGGAACAATCATATCAAACTTGGGTCTCTTGGCTGGGTCTTCATTCATGCAGAGCCTCATCAGCTTACAGATGTGAGGGGAAATCCCCGGGGGAATGGTCGGCCGAAGACCCTCGAGAGACACCTGTTTATATTGGGGCGGTGTTAAGTAGAAAAGCTGCACGTGTTTGTAATGTAATGTTGAAGCCTATGGGCAGATAAATACTGTGTCAACTTACTTTCATGCCTATCTCCATGTGTGAGAGATCAGCAAAGGGGACTTCTCTGGTAACGAGCTCCCACAATAACACAGCGAAACTCCACATGTCTGCAGATCTTCTGTTAATGTCCTCGGGCTTCTTCTGCAAAGCTGAAGAAAGAAAAAAACCCCATAAACATAAGCACTATAACTTAGATCTTCATTATGTAACTTTACCAGGTAAAACAGCACGACTGCTTCTTAATTGGTACTAAATTATACAGCGCAGTTTCCTCCTGGCTGAAAGACTCATAAAGTCGAAGGAGGCATTTAGTGAGCAGGAAGCAGGAGGGAATTAGGGGAACAGTGAGTGAGTGAGGAGAAAAACAAAAGGGAATAAATACCTTCAGGAGCCATCCACGCTGGAGAGTACATACGACCAGGACACTGGAAGGACAACTTAGCATCCGCCATACTTATCCTGGCGGTCATGTCCTCATCAATCTGTAGACGAATTACATCTTGTGATCACATCTGATAATAAACATGCGGATATCTAATGAAATAAAAGACAGCAGAAAGGCCTCTCACCATGATGTGCTTACTGTTGAGGTAAAGCCGCGAAACCATTGGTTCTAAGGTGTGGAGGAAAGCCATGCCACTGGCAATGTCCAGTGCAAACTTCACTGCCTGGCTCTGGTCGACCACGAGAGCTGAGGGAACAGAAGGCAGAAGTAGGATATGGGGTTTAATTAAGTGCCATGATACCAACATCTAAATGTCACTTAACTGACTAGCTGACATGAATGAGTGAGATGGGGGGGGGAGTGAGAGAAATAAGAGAAATAAGTGAGAGAAAGACGCATGCACAAATACGTTTCTTTATCCATAATGTATGAAGCCACACAGCGTCATCCACAGTGGCAAACCTGCCGCAGTCTTAGCTCTTTCAGGCTGAGACAAAAGACAAATTTGAGCCTTTTCATTTTAACGCATGCACACATTGTCAAATGACTTACTGGTGCCCTGGTGTAATATGTTGTAGAGGGATCCGTAGGGCATGTAGTGGGTAATGATTATAGGGTGAGGGGATGGCGGTGACTGACAGGCCCCAAGAACAGGTAGGATGTTTGGGTGAGAAAAAATCCTATCAAGCCACAACAGAAAAAAAAGAGAGATTGTGAAGTGTTTCTAAATATTATTTAATAAATAGCTATTTATTCTAAGCTCAAGATGGTCTGTCTGGGATAAGAAGAGACTAACAGAGAAGAAATGGCCTCAAAGCTTGGTCTGAATCACGAGAATGCTTTGCAAATCCACGAGAAACCACCCCACCATTTGTGTCACCTTTAAAGTTAAGCCCAGCAGCAGTGTTTTTGCATTTCACTGTCACCTATTTTTGCAGTACATGAAAGAGCTTATGTTGCCTCTAATCTTCAGCGCACGCATAACCAGCGCTTTGATGATTGCATCAAGCACAGCCAAGACGTTCCTACTGCGCACTCAGCCTTCCTGGTGAGGTTTCTTTGATTTGGCCTGCTCAAAGGATTCTCTCACCTTCTGTTCTGGTCATTTTATCCCGAGGATGACAGAATTTATTAAAAGTAGATGAGATGGGAATGCAGTTTTGCTCAGGTGATTTAATACTATTCAGAGGACGCTTCAGAATGCTGAAGTCATTCTGTGGGCCCGCCTGGGCCCGTCTTAACACGTTCTGCAGGGTTCGACGGTTATTGCACGATAAGTTCATAACAGAAAACAGGATTAGAAAGTAATGCTTGAGTCACATTGTGAAGGGTCTGGTTTCATCTTATAACAGAGGTTCATGTTTGCTGTAGAACCCGACTTAGCAAAAATAAAGGGTCCTCTCCTCCATTGCATAAGAATCCTGCACAACATCCTAGCTAATCTTTGACCACAGACTTCACCGGCGGTTCATCGCGGTCATCTGTACTCTACACGAGGACTGTGTTTACCAGTGCATGGCCACCAGGCCAAATGTCGACTGATTCTATGTAACTCAAACAGACGCTAAGCCGACTCAAGATAAGAAACTGCAGCACCAAATGTATTTGCCTCAGTTTACATAAACACGCAGGCTGACAGCATGTGACCCTGTGATGTTTGCCCATGATCCATGACACGAAAAGCAGAGGTGAAACAAGCATAATTCAAGAATTAAATTATAAAGATAAATTCCCAGGATATGTTTTTTTTTATTTAAACTAGCTCATTTAAAGCTTAAAATTATGCATTATTAGGGCCAAGATACAGTGTGAATTTAACACCACCAAACTAAGTCACTGAACTGTATGATACATGCAGTGTTAGTGCCTCCTGGAATATTTAGCTTTATGATAAATATGATGACTCCTTGTGCCGTTTACCCACCCAAATTCATTATACAATTGTCCAAATATGGTGAGTTCTGGCTCAAGAATTATGGCAAAGGTCATAAGAGTCGAAATGTAACTCCACAAACCAGTGCGTGCTGTAACAATGGCTAGATCCATCTTTCATATACAGTCAATGCAATGGAATACCGATTCATTGTTCGGATACCACAAGAAACACTGCTGCCCCAGACCCACCACTATAACCTTTCTCATTCCTACAGTACGGTTATTTGAATCACCTCAGTTTAGGATGTTCCTCGTTGAAGTCTCTGCTCTTCCTGGTGGTCCAGTCTCTCACTTGTAGCACTTTTACTACAATTTCGTCCCCTTGCCACCGACCCTGCCATAACTACAAACAGAGCGCATGGTGTTAAACAGCCAGGGAGCTGAAAAAGACTGGCACGCAGCAATAAAAACAGAGTGCAGCTAACCTCTCCAGACTGGTTTTCATTGATCTTTGCCAGCAGCGAGAGTTGCTTATAATCGATACCAGCCTGCTTGTTGAGGGTGCCATTACCTACAAGGTCAAAAACATCGCTATTATTGCAAACATTCTGCTTTGATATGATGATTGGCCCCTAGAGTGTGGAATAAATGCTACTCACGGGGTCGTGTCCGCATGGTGCCCTTCCAGAAAGTTTCCTTGTATGGAACTTTGATCAGACTCTGGCCCATTTTCTCTGCCTTTTCTAAAAAGAAAACAACAAAAATTAAGAATGCATAATTATTTCCT